TTTTTTTTTTTTTTTTTTTTTTTGTTCAGGGATATATTAATATGATACTCGTGTATTACACGGGTGTTTCTTAAAAAAATTATTCTTAAAATTTAAAATTAATGATAAAAAGTGTTTTAAATTTTATATATTTTTTACAATGACGATTATTCTCGCCCTCCTCGAGGCTGTCATATCATTTTTATGGATCAAGTGATGTTCGAGTTCCGTTTTCTCACCCAGCTCGAGCTGATTACCCTTAGTAATTTGTACTGTATTCTCGTTAATCAGTTTGCCTTAAATTCTATTCACCTTATGGTTGCCTTCATCATGATTTCCAGAATAAAACTTTGCAACTTTTACCCAAAAATTCTTTTACCGATATGGTTATAAGTTCTAGAAGGGGACCCATTGTATAGGTTGTCGCAGTGGAGCCATGTTTTTTGATGATCTTGTCTCGAACGTGACTGAATGAAAGTCGAAGTTCTTTTATTTTTCGTCCTCCATCTGGATATTATTCTTTTACAAACACCTGGTTAACCGGGAAGGTTAATCAATGTAGTAAAGCGCGATCTCCTCAATTCGTGAAAATGGTGAAAGAGTTAAATAAGCACACTTGGAGTGCTCGACATATGGTAAATGATCCCACCCTGCGATACCAATGTGGCATCACTCACGAGAGTGATTCTTATGTTGACCTTGACCTCGGTAAGTCGTCTTCCTCCCTTTTTCTATGATTACTCAGTCAATATCTTCATCATTTTCTTTTCTTGCAGATTAGTATCTTTTGTGATTCGAGACAAAAAACATAAGCAAACCCGAGGGTGGGTCCACAGGCCGTCCTTCTCTACCCAAAAAACAATTTGGTGGCTCGGGCTCGGGCTCTAAGGAAGTCATGGTCGAGAAGAGCATGGGTCGTGCCTCAACAGCTGAGAGTTCTCCTCCCAAAGAAGTATGCTCCCTCTGGCTCCTAGTTGAGAAAACGAGCTCCTGATCAACGAACTTTTAAGTTGTTGCCCGAAGAGACGAAACGCTAAAAGGGTAAGGTGTTTCGCCCTCCCCCATCCGAGTTCGGCCAGTCACTTTGGAGCAACCTTCTCAACTCCACAACAACAAGGACGACCATGAGATCACAAGCTATATCCTTTTCGCCCTTTATGAAGATGATAGAACTCACCTCAAGATCGATCCTTATGACCGAGCCTGCTACGTCGCTCGTGCCTTGACTAGGGTAACAACCGCTTCTTGTCCTCATCATCTCATCGAGGTCGTGATTGCTGATTTGTGTTCTATTTTCCTTGTAGTTCCTCGCGGCCATTCATATCAGGCCAAGCCAAAATAGCTCGAGAAGAAGACTGGGGAGCTCGAGGCTGCTTAAGTTGTGATCACCAAACTGCGGGCTGAGAAAGCTGTGGCCCTTCAGAACCTTGAGAGGATGAGGGTCGACCTCGAGAAGACCCATGAGGAGAAGGAAGTCGAGCTTTTAACGGAAAAAGAGGTTGGGGTCCTTGAGGGACGCAAGTCATTCTTTAAATCTCCTATCAACTTTGTGTTCTTCGAGATCTATCTCAAATAGGTCGTCGAGCACTTCGTCAATTCTCCTGCCTTCCTAGAGCAAATCAGCCCCCCAACCCTACAGTACTTCAACTTCTTATTCAACGCGTGGAAATCAGTTCTACTATAACTTATACCCTCTAATACTAAATAATTAGTTTAATACTCCATTAATAAAATTAAGAAACAATACTTGGCGAGAATACGAAGAAAGGAAAAAAAGAAGAGAATAAGGAAAAAAAATCACCATTCTTATTATTTTGATTTTCGTATAAGTAAATCTAATATTTCTTTTTATTAAAATTGATAGAATAAATTAAACTTAGAATTTTTGTAGTTAATTGAATGTTGTTTCTTACAAGACTATTTCATGTATTTAATTTTTTGTGTCACTGATAACTTAAATTGCAGGGCTTTTAAAATTTTGGTATATTAGATAAAATATTTTATACATTAATATTATTTTTTATATCGAGAAATATTTTTATGAATATGCTTGACCAAAAAAAAAAAAATGCATGTAAAAATTAAAATTAGCCACTTTAGCTCAAATATACTTGAGGTGAATAGTAATATTGTCGTGCCGACAGAAATGTAATGATCTTATATTATAGAGTCATATCATGCTATGAAAACTCATAAGGATGACCATGAATGTATTTTTGTATTTATATTTTTATGAAGTATTATATTTTTTTAAAAAAAAACAAGTAGGCCCTCACTCATTATATGAGCTAGATCCGCCCCTGCCTCTACCCGACGGGTACCTAGGTGACTCGACTCTGCCTCATGAACATCCGTGGTGTCTGAGCAGCTCGAGCTTCCCCCGAGCCCTATGGTTAGTCCCGTCGAGCTAGTAGAGGCTAGTGGAGCTAGTCCTGGTGAGGATGCGACTGATGCTGTCAAGAATGAAGCCATTGGGAATGAAACTATCGAGATTACGGTTGAAAATCCTTGAGCCTTTCTGATTGTTACCTTTTTTTTGTTGCAGTTGTCATAAGACTAGAATACTTAGGAACTCATGAACTCGATATTTTTTTATTGTTTTTGTGGGGTCATACATGTTTTACTGTATGGATTCCCGGTTTCTTTCATTTTGTGCATGGTTATGGATCATGATTTATCACAACTGTGATTTTCACCTGCATAGATCGTAATCACATTATATGTTGTTTCTTTACTTCCTTTTTTGATGTCGCGATGACCGTTAAGTGCGATGGTTTACTTAAGTTGTGGTGATTTGTTTTAAGTCGTGATGACTTGTTCAAGCTGCGATGTTCTTCATTCTCCCTTAGATTTATATTCGTTCTATAACCTCGCTCAACCCAGCTTGCGAGTTGTTCAAAGTTGGAATCATCGAGCAAATTCTAGCCAGCTTCATAGCTATTTCAAAATAAAATTTTTAAATCACGACCTCGCCCAACCCACCTTGCGAGTTATTCAAAGTTGGAATCAACGAGCAAATTTTAGCCAGCTTTGTAGTTGTTTGAAACTAAAATTTTAATCACGACCTCGTCCAACCCAGCTTGCGAGCTGTTCAAAATTGGAATCAATCGTGTAGATTTTAGCCAACTTCATTGTTGTTTCAAACTAAAATTTTAAATCACGATCTCGTTCAACCCAGCTTGTGCGATGTTCAAAGTTGGAATAACCAACAAATTTTTTAGCCATCTTCTCTTTTCAAACTAAAAAAGTTTGTGTTCAAAGTTCAAACAAGTCGGGGAAATTTGTAACATTTGAGCTTTCTCTATCGGAGCGCTCCACATTCCGTAGTAGCAAAGTTTTCCTTCTCACAACCGATCAAAAAACAAAAAGTTCTCCTTCCCACTCAACACTGCTCCAATTGCATCCATAGCCCAGCAAGCAAGTTCCAAAACCCAGAAACACTATGGCGGAACAAACTTGCCTGGATTTCGATCCTGAATCGTCGGTCTTCAAGAGAGATCGGCACGTACTTTTTCTGCAGATGATGTATCAGCTCTTGCCGTCGGCGTATCAGGACCAAGAAATCAACCGCCTTACGCTCGCCTATTTCGTTGTCTGCGGCCTAAACATTCTATCCGCCCTCGATCGAGTACTTCCCATTAATCAGTTTTCAACCTTTGTTTATTTGGCCATACTTTTCTTGGGTTAGAATTTGGTTTGGCGTTTCTTGATTTGGGAATTGGAGTGAGGAGGTGTATGTTCTCGCGATTCATTGATGCTTTGTTTGATTTTTGTCATGTTAGATTGACAAGGAAGAGGTGATTAACTGGGTCTTGTCATTACAAGCTCATCCAAAGAATAGGGCCACATTAGAAAGTGGTAAGCTAGTCCATTTGCATTTTTTTTTAGGTTTTATTGCAATATTGAGGCTTAAATTGATAAGGGTGAGATTTGGTTACATGAGAATTTGTGTTTGGGCAGGTCAATTTTATGGATTTCATGGATCCAGGAGCTCGCAGTTTCAGTCCAATGATACTGGGGTAGAAGATATGGTTACATGTTGATTTTGGCACACAAAAAGCAGAAAATTTGCTTATTTTAGTTGTTAAATTGTTTCGTCGTTTTTTTAAATTGATCCCTGCAGGCAGCCAGCCTCAACGGCAGTCACCTAGCTAGCACTTATTGTGCGCTGGCCATATTAAAGACTATTGGCTATGATTTATCACTTATCGATGCCGAGTTGTTATTGAGATCAATGAAAAACTTGCAGCAAGCTGACGGATGGTACCTTTATTAGTTTGTTATCCTAGTTCTTATGCCTATGTTGTCTTTTAGATCTTGTATAACTGTTATTACTTGACTATGTTATTTGTTTGGTTTCTTTCTTCTTTTTCTTTGACAATGATAGGCAAACCAATACCCACATTACTAAGATTGACAAGAATTTTGTTTTACACTCTCTCCTTGGTTAGGATTGGTACTTTCCCCTTAGTAAATTTTGTTAATAATTGTTAACAGCCAAAGTTGAGCCACGTGAAAATGTTGAATGCCCGATTTTCCACTGTTTTGAAGGTATAACATAGTACAACAGCTGACACTTCCGTGTCCCATGTCCCCCGCCCCAGGACACTCCAATCTACCAGCTTGGTGTCAAATACACACCTCAAATATAAAAATGATATAAAATACACTTTTACAGAGTGATACAAGGATATACTTTATCAATAGCGTGCATGGTTTGTGATTGAATTCCTTACAGTTTTACGAATGGAATATTTTGAAAACATTTAGGAAGTCCTTAGCATATGCGGTATTTAGGTAACAAAAATAAATGTGTCAGCCTTGTAACCAATCTTAATTACCCGTTCAGCTCTTCACTGTTTCTATAAGTCCTCATACCCCATCTTAATGACCCGTTCAACTCTTCACTGTTTCTATAAATCCTTTGTCATGCCCTTAATATTCATCTTGTAAACCTCATTATAGGCCCTAGAATCTTTATATTCAAGTTCATGTATTTGTGGAGCCATTTGGATGATAAATCTTTGTATTATTTTTTCTAGCTTCTTGGGTTGGATAAGATGGTTTATTTAGATGGCCAATGTGTGAGTCTAACTTATCATTTGGACATTTCCTAGTTTTATGCCCATTCATACTGGAGGAGAGGCAGATCTGCGCTTCGTGTATTGTGCTGGTAAGTATATTTTTTTCAAGTTAATTTTTCAGTTCCATTTTAATGAGGATAAATAATTAAATATATATTTGTAATTGATGTATTATCAGCGGCCATTTGTTCCATGTTGAATAACTGGAGCGGCATGGATCGGGAAAAAGCTAAGGAGTACATAATTAATTGTCAGGTACTTAGCCTGACTTCTTATCTTTATTTTTTTCAGGGTTTCCCCTCTTATATCTAGTATTGTATTGCAAATTGTATTTATTGCTTATTTTCCTTCTGCAGTCATACGACGGTGGTTTTGGATTAATTCCTGGTTCAGAATCTCATGGTGAGTGGATATAATTTTCCATTTAAATTTTCAGGTTGCTTCGGAAGTTCTAACGTGACCATGATGCGAATACTTATGTCGTATTTTCTTATATGGGATATATTTTTCTACTGTGGAACTTAGTGAGCAAGTCGTGAAAATTGGTTGCTTGTCAGTGTGAGTTGACTTATATTTACTTGTTGTAATGCTGACTCTATGATTCCAACAAGCAAATCATAATTAGCTCAAGGGTTTCTATTTGGATGCTGAATCTTCTTTCAACCTAAATTTTGGTAACTTACGAAGCTACCTCTAAGCTTTAGTCTAATTACTAAACAATCTACTTAGGTTATGCAAATACATCTTTAGATTTGTAGTGGTCGTCTCACTTTCATAATGTATTGAGCTAATTCAAAAAGTTCCTCTAGCCTAAGTAGACTTTCTTCGACTCTGTGAATCACTGTTCAATTCCAACTTTTTTAATATCTTTGATTTGTGAGGAGGTGCTACATTGAATGGAGCGTACTGATGAAGGGTAATAAATAGGTCTGGATAATAACTCATTTCCAAAAGCTCGCTCAAAGGAAGAGGTGTTCAACCCACACTCACAATAGCAGCATAGTAGTTATCAACGTGGGACCAACATAGACTTTTAAAACTTGGGCAGAACTCATCCCCATAAGTTAATACAAAGTAAGAGAGTGCAAAACTAAAGCTTAAACACTAACATCCCAGTAGCTTATCGATGTGGGCAACCACAAACTCTTAACCAGGAAATAGGTTGAGTAACTGCATGAAATTTGACCTAATTGATAAAGAAAAAGGGCACTGCTAACTTCCAACCTTGCAGAAGTATCCTTTGAGCTTTGCTTCAGTATTATTCTTACAGCGGTGATTTGAAATGCAATGTTTTTTTTTTTTTTTTTTTTTTTTTGGGGGAAAATTTAAGGTAAAATTAAATATCAGGCATGTTTTGTTTCTTTCTTTATTCCTTTTTCTTTATTACTTGCGATGGTATTTTTTCTGTGACCTTGGAATTAACTGTTTATCTTTCTACATTTCAAATCTTATCAATATTTTCTTCAATTAAGTTATTGCAGAGGACATTATGGAGCTGATTTCTGCCTTTTGAGTCATTTAACTTCTGTTGTGATGTTCAATGTTAATATCCTGTTATTGTTATTGTATTGAAGGGGAACATGTTTGATTCCTCTGTATTGTTATGGTCATCCTTTGGTGACTCGGTTGTAAAACATTTTTTTGAGTTTTATGAAAGTTTTATTGCCGTTGGAAAAAATATAAGTTATTTTTCTCTTTGGATAAACAAACCTCAATCGGATGCCATACTTCACTTTAGGTTGTCTACCTTTTGTTCCATGGTTCGCTTGTTGCAATTTTTTTTAACACTTATGGATTGGAATTGTTTTAGTGTCACAGGTGGTGCCACTTACTGTGCTGTTGCTTCTCTTAAACTGATGGGATTCCTTGAAGAAGATTTGCCGTCGAAAGACATTTCCTCTCATATCATCAATGTGCCATTGCTTTTGGATTGGAGCTTGCAGGTTTATTTTTAATCTAGTTCAAAGCAACGACTAAATCCAAATGTCAAGAACATAGTACCGAAATTTAGCTTCACCTTAGACTCGGTAGATTTGGAAATTCAGTCCAGTAATAATAATTAGGTAATCGAGAACTAATATGAACCGTTATGGTTTGTATTATAGAATTCTAGCATTTTTTTTTTCTTAATTTTTCTGTGCCATGTGTGTAATGCTTTGGATAGTTCTTACTACGCTTTAAATTAGTTTATTGACATCTTTTTCTCAGTTATCTTTCTATAATGGCTAGAAATCCCAGGTTGAGGTCTGGAAAATATCATAATTGAACCATTAGTTTTCAAGCATTTAGCATAATTTCTAGTTTTTGGATTTGCCTTGATCTTTATGAAGTCTTATTTCTCCCCACGAACTTTCCATTTGCCCAAACTTGACTCAGCAGAGTTGTATATAGATTTTTCAATGAACATGTATATCCTCCTCTGTTAACAAATGCAATTATATAAAAAAAAAAAAAAAAGAAAAAAGTTGCATTCCTTTTCTTTTCAACCTTCGCTATTGTGATTGGCTTAAATTATCTCACATAGAAGCCTATTCATTCTGTTATAGAAGCAAGCAAAAGATGGTGGCTTTCAAGGTAGAGCAAACAAGCCAAGTGATACCTGTTATGCCTTTTGGTATGCTTGAGTAACCATTTGGTGGTTTGTTCTCTTTCTATTTGTCACTTTCTTACTTTCAACCATCATTTTGCCTCTGTAGGATTGGAGGAGTTTTAAGGATCTTACGGGCAGATAAGTTCCTTAACAAGAGAGCATTACATAGTTTTTTGTTAACTTGCCAGTCTGAGGTGCAGCTTCTGTTTCTCCTTTCTGTTTTAACCCATGATTCCAATTTATGTTATATAATTTTATTGATGCTTCCATTTCCTGGATACGTATACATGAACATGATAATTACATGTCACTGTGTGCCCAATTACTTATTCATCAATACTGGGAAACTGCAAACATGAACAAAAAGTAGAAACATCATAGTAACTAATAAATTGTTTCTTAGGCTGGCCATGCCTAGTCGTGATGCTATGATTTAAGGTCACTTTTGCCAAAACCTATGTTAGCTATGGAGAGAATTGTATTTGACTCGTGCTCTAGCTACTTGATAGTTGATTTTGATGTTTGATATACTTTATTATTATTTCATATATGATATATGTGAAGAAAACTAGATTTAGATATGTTAAAAAAGAGCTTTTCCAGGCTTATGTGACATGTTTTTTAGTTGTATATAACATGTAAACAAGAGGTTTTCGCATGAAAACATGAACTTTTTCATGAAAATGCAATAATAACAAGAGGTCTCGCATCAAGCATCTATCATTGTATATAACATGTTTTACTATCAACTTCTTGTCTCGTCTTTGCCTACCACATTAATCAATGTGTTTGTAGTGACATCTATTCTTTCTTTCTTTCTTTCTTTCTTTCTTTCTTTTCCTAAGTAGTTGATTGCCCCTTATTTATTTATTTTTTTATCTATTTGATCAACTTATCATTTTATTAAACTAACCTCATTCCAGAAGTGATGACTCGACTCGAATGTTTTATTGCAGTATGGTGGTTTCAGTAAATTCCCGAGAAGTTTCCCAGATCTTTACCACTCTTATTATGGATTTTGTGCATTTAGTCTATTGAATGAACCTGGTCTCGGTTATTTATGCGTCGAGCTGGGTATAGCAGATGTTGCAGTACTTGGGGTTTGATAATTCTACCCATTTTGTTATCTATTGGCTTCTTCATTGTGATTGCAGAATTAAACTAATTTAGAAGACGATTTAAGGAACTTCACAAAGTTCCCGAGATAATACATTCTCTCTTTCTTTTCTTGTAGTTTTAGAAGATGCTATCAGCATGATTCTTTGTTCTATCGAGCTTAATTTGTAATATGACAAGAGTATGTTCTACCGTTGTCTCTTATGGATGATCATTTGTATAAGAAATTGAATTATAATAAATTATTATTTTCTTGAACTTCCCTTCTCGGTTGACTTGGTCACTTGTTCGCATATTTCTTACATAATTTTGCTTAATTAAATGACTACTAAGACATCATGTGAAGCAACAATTTTCCAACCATCCAAATCCTCCAACCATTTGAATCCTCCAACCCTTCTGCTCCACCTTTCATTTTTTTTTTTTTTTTGGAACGATAGGAATGCACTCAACCAAAAAAAAAAAAATATTTTACAAGCTGCGAGACGAAGTAGTCCCGAATACATCAATAGGAGAACCACCAGAAGTGTGGCCTACACTAAAAAAAACACTAACTCCAACAAACTCAAGTTGAAGCAAGCAAATAGCTCGACCCCTTCAGCTAAGTTAACTAAACAACCACAACAATACAATTCAAACAAAAAAACAACCTGCCAACAGAGACTAAAAAAAAAAAAAAATGACTCAAGAAAGACCATTGGACTCCGACGAGACCTAGCCTTTCAACAGTATCCTTTAAATATAAACTGAGTTACCTGTTGCCAACCCAAACTCCGTCCACTCCTTCCAAGCTGCTTTAACCACTTCCAACTCCGACATCCAAACTTGCTTAAGCTTCCACAGGTTCCTAGACTTCCAAAGCCACCACAAAATCTAAGTGGTTAACTGAAACATTTCTTCTGAGATCAGTCTTTTATCTACTTTGCAAGCCTTCCACTACCATTCCTTAAAACTGTTGCAGTTGTTTTTAGTCCTTCCCAACTCACTTGAGATAACCTCCAAACCTTCTAGCCCAACAACAATGAAACATTACATGCTCAATAGATTCTTCACCCTCTCCACAGGCTTGACAAACCGGGTCAACAGTCATTCCTCTTCTAATAATCAACAAGTTAACGGGAATAACTCCACTGAAACATTTCCATACAAAGTCTAAGTTTCCCTTTCACCTTGAACTTCCAACTTCTTCTTCTAACTTTTTTACTCTCCCCAGCCCCTGCACTGCTTTCAGCTTCATCAATTTCTCAGCTTATGTTGTAAAAGATGGGAATAAGCATTGTCCACTAAGAAGAGCCCTTTAGGATCAAATGTCCAGATCCATTTGTCTCTGGCATTAGGATCCAAGGACTTCAACCCTCTAATCAACTCTCTATCTCCCTCCTTAAACACTTCAGAAAGAAGATCTTCATTACAACTTCTACCCCTTATTCCAGCAACCCCCCTCCCACCAAGGTCACATTTTTGGTGCAACCAGTCTCTCTCTTTCAGGTAATCTAGATTTTGAAGTAATTAACCAAGGATCACATCATATCTTAGTACTCTAGCCATCCCTAACTGACCATGAAACCCCTTTGATACTTATCTTAACTCTAAGCCAATTACTCCACAACCAAGATGCATTGCTCTTCTTTTTAGCTTGAAAAATAAATCCATTGGAGAAATACATTCCTTAGAGAATTCTACTAACCAGAAGAGTAACCACTCTCCAGATTTGCTTCATAATCATAGCCTCATTAAACAGGCTTATACCCTAAAAGCTTAGCCCACCATCTTCCTTTGACAAAGTTATTTTCTTCCAAGAATTCCAGTGAAGTCCCTTGGTTTGATCTTCCCTTTTACTCCACCAGAACCTTACATAGATCTTAGAAATATCTTGACAAACACCTTTCGGAAGACAGAAACAATACATTGAAACAAATAGAAAGGAATTAATAACATATTTCATCAACACTTTTTTCCCAGCCAAAGATAAGAATTTATTTTTCAATTTACCAATTTACTTATGGCTGCTTGCACCACAAAATCAAAACTTTTCTTTTTAGATCTTCCAATCCACAGTAGAAGCCCCAAGTATCTCGACCTCTTTCTCAATGACTCTATTTATCTCAGCACCATGGTGCTGTCTTTTCTGCCTTACAGGCCTAACGTTGAGGTCGATATTAAGTCTGTGTTCAATAACACTTGCCTCGATCCCTGTAAGCTCCTCCGCCGTATAAGCAAAAATATCCACAAACTCTCGCACCAATTTTATCAACTCTCTCTCAGCTCATTTTCGATACTGAACTTTCTATTATCGCATCCCTCGATCATCTGGACTTGTTCAATCTCCCCACCAAGTTGGATATCCACCTTCTCCTTTACTTTGTCGAGCTTTGACCTTTCCTCCTTCGACCTATACCTACATGGTCGATCTGGCGCCTTCTCTTTCGGCCCGCTCGCTCTTCTGTTCATCCGCTTATTATTGCCCATAGTGGTCTGATAGCAACACCTTGAGGTCAGCTGATCACCCCCAATTTCTCCTACATTTTTTCCGATTAGGTACTTCACCGCCATATGATAGGCCGACACCACATCTTGGAAAGCATTCAGACTAGTTCTTTCCAAGATAGTGTTGTATGATGATTCATCTCTGACCTTAACAAACTGCACCATTTTTATTTTATGAGTTTCCCCATATCCTGGGCAACTGGAAGAGTGATCCCCTCATGGGGATCACCTCACTCCCATTGAAAACCATACAGAGCATCACAACCTCTTTCAATCCCACATCCAAATCCAACTGCCTAAAGCAGTCATAAAACATCACATCGACCAAGCTGCCAGTGTCGATAAACACACGCTTAACATCGTAGCCCGCCACCTCGACTGTTATAACCAAAGCATCATTGTAGGGCACATGAATCCCCTCTTCATCTTCAGCTCGAAAACCGAGTACCGACATTCGAGTTGTGATCCTTAGTTCTTCCTTTTTCCTCTTAGCCACTCGAGTATGCTCCTTCTTGGCGTTGTAGGAATCGCCATCAGTTAGTCCACATGAAATCATATATATAGTGCCCTTCTTGATTGAGATACATCATCATGACCCTCTCGACCTCCATCATCCTTTCTTCATTTACTTTCTTCACCTCGTCGACCTCCTCGATCCTCTCTCTTTTTTTCGTCTTCATCGTCCTCTTGGTCATCCTATTCGAGCGAGTCTTCCCTAAACAAACTCTTTCAAGTGACCAGCTCGAATCAATCATTCAATTTCATCTTTTAAGTGTCTGCAGTTCTCCGTCGTATGTCCATAGTCTTTGTGGAACCTGCAGTACCTAGTCGACCTTGGCCGAGTAGGTTCTTCATTCATCGACCTCGTCCAAATGACATATCAAACATCCATTTTTTTTCAATCGTCTCCAATACCTCAGTCATCCATTGACTTTTTAATGGTGTATAATTATGATACCTCTTGCCACTCTACAGGGGTCGTTCCTTCCATTTGTCCTCCTGACCTCTCTTTGACCTGTTATGTCTATACTTCCTGAGTGAGATAGTCCTTTCCTTATTCGGCTCAGGTCGAGCCAGCTGCTCAAACTTTGTAAAATCCTCTGTTTCCTCAAGGTTAATATACTTCTTGCACGTTGTGACACCTCATCATAAGTTCGAATTGATGTATTGGCCAAAGAAGTTCGACGCGGGCCATCTCAAAGACTACTTATGAGACCACCAACTTTCACCTCATCCGAGGCCAAGGGGATCTCTACACACTAGAGCAATATACCTTTTTAAGGACACTCCTTTCACTTGTCTCTTCGCCATCAGAGTAAGATATGTTTTCTCTTGGGCTACAACACTCGCATATTGATTCAAGAATCTCTCCAAAAGAACTTCGAAATCCCTTAGTGACCAATCCAACGCCCCTCCCCTCAAGGTCGAAAGGAACGCCCTAAAACTTACATCATCGAGTACCCATGCAAGAAAGACATATTTTCAAATGATCGCACATGCCTTGATGGGTCGATCAATCCATCATACGCCAAATTAATCTCCCGAAAGTTGGTTGGTAGTGCTGCTTCCAAGATCTACCAAGAAAAGGATGTCTGCGAGCTCGACGACTGGTCAGCCATCCACTTTGAGACAGTTGATCCGCTATCTTCTCCAAGGCCCGATCTCTCGGGGCTCTTCTTCCTTCTCTAAAGCTTGACTCGTCCTCCTCCGTATCTTGTTGATGTGTGCCTACCACCGTGGTCGGCACC